AATATTTGCTAATGTCCTTGTTGATGCATAAGTAGACACTTCATACTGATGAGATACATTAGACTCCTGGAGACTGACTACATTTGTTATTGAAAAGGTGAGTGAAGGTGGATGAAAAATATGCTCCGAGGGAGAGAACATGAAACCAAATCAGTGGAGCATTCAGATAATGCACAGGAAGGAAGCATCCCCTTTTCTTTAATATTTCATCAAACTGAAAATGACTCACTTTACTTGTGTGACAGTCATTTCATTTAGAGGTTTTAACTGAACAAGTGCATTCCACTCACAAGCTGAAAGCAGCAGACCTGTCAGTGAGTCAGCGAGTGGCTCTGCTTCACCAGGCTGTGGTCCTGGACATGAGGGGGGGGTTGTTGACCATCCTCCTGTCAGCCTACAACAGATGTGGCCTTAGCAGCAGACAAATAAAAAAAAGTGTCTCTGCCTGCACCATAGGGCTCATCATCCAGTTCCTCCCTCCCAGGCCCTTTGGCTTTTTACAGCTCTGGCCACACAATCAAATGGAGTAAAAAAAAATCACCAATCAGACAGTCCAACTACAACATGGACACCCCAGTACCCCCCTCCACCCTGTGTCTCTTGTTGGGAGCCCCCGGTGGGAATGTTCACTGTTTGAAGAGTTAACTCTTTAATTCCGTCTGGAATGTTTCCTCTGGGTGGGGCACTGTAGTGCATTGAGCCAGACCACTAACCCGTCTTCTTCTCTGGATTTCCTCCCCCTCTCATTCCCACTTCATCTCCCTACTAAATTCAATACCTCTATTTTGGGGCCAGGGGAATCTTCCACACACTGGTGTTAGGTGTAGGTCAGCACAAAATAGATATTTGTCAAAGCACACATGATTATAGCCAACCCATGCCTCAAATCAATCTCAGTCTGCCATTTGGTTGTGAAGGTCCTATAAATACACAAGTCTGTCACATGCACTTGTCACACTGTTTAAATGATGTTTCCAATGATGAACAAACTCCATAAATGTAAAATGGAAGTTTATGCTGTGTCTGTGATCATGCCATGTTGAAAACATTATGGTAGATCATTTGCAGTACCATATGGACAAAATTATTATTAATCTCATTATTATTTATATAATTTTGATACATCTCCCATCTCCCACTGTACTGTTTAAAAACAGTAATAAAAGTAGGGAATTAAGGCATCCTTTTAACCAGCCTAATACATATTAATGCACATAGGCAGATAGCAGAAATTTGGCAATAAGATTAACCATTTAGCGTCAGGTGCATTCATCACCAATGTCATTAGTAATAGAATTCTGGATGCATTAGGTCAACTGGATGACAAAGGTTGCAGTATCACACTAAATAAATTATACTGTACCAAAAGAAGTATACTGTAACAAAAATTATAATTATAATAATTTGCTTTAAATTATTTTAGAAATAATCATTATACATTTTAACATCATTCTATACTATAATATCTATAATAATATTGTGTGTGCGGTTTTCTGAATGAATTTAAACCAGATCATACTTCTCACCTTATTATAACACCAGCCAGTTAACATTAATTGCTTGGAACAAACCAAATCTTCTTCATAATTATGGAGTTTCTTGTCATGAGCTGCCTTTTGAATTATTGCTCTTCTAATTGATCTCCATTTGCAGGGTCAGAATGTAATTCCAATCTTATTACATCAGCATAACAGGAAGTCCAGTAAACGGAATAAGACTAAGTACACCATTTAAAACCCGCTGACAGTTATTGCATAGGAAGCACCTACATTATATTTCACAGAGCACAAACTAGGTCAGGGTGTTGTATGTGAAGAAAACAACAAAAAAGCTCAACGTAAGGATAGGTTAGAGGCATTTAGTTTTGTTTTTTTGTTTTTTTTAATCCAATATCACATTATACACTGTTATGGATTGTTCAGGTTTCATTTATTAAAAAAATTAAACAAAGCAAAAAATAGCTTCTGATAAAAGCAAACACACAATACTTATCGATCTGTGCGCTGCAGCTGTGCATCTCCCCACTTCCTGGCTGATGTGTTGCTGGGACGACAGCTAAATTATGCAACAGCGCTCTCCAAACAGACTGGCTTCAGAGCCACAGCAGCCAAAGAGGATCAAGGATGCCCAATGATGCTGGACTCCACACAAGACTTTAGGCCACAATGCCTTTTTTGTCCTTGTTGAACTAAGAAGGAAGTACATCTGTGAGACAAGTTCTGGACAAATTCTGACCCTTGTGCCTTCATCATGATCTCCATATTCAAAAATAGATGAACTGGGTGCACCATGTACTACCTACAATCAAATTACATTAGCATATGCTTAAAGACAGAAAAAAAATCTGTCAACAATTCAAATGGCATTACAAATGAGAGGCTATAGGTTCTTCACTAAAGCTAGGTTGAAAATCAAATTACACTTTTTCTGTGAAGATATTGCCTTCATACTAATACTGTGCAATCAGTTGGATTTCGATCGAACCAGGATGAAACTGTCTATCAGTCTATCAGACAATCCTGGAGCAAAAATTTGTTAAGAGAGGCATTTCAAACGCGGCAGACTACCTATAGTGCAAACTTGTTGTTTGGAGAGGCATTTTGATCGCGGCAGTCTACCTATAGTGCTGAAGCCCAAAATACAGCAGTTGAGTTGTCCTACAATAAATCTGGTCAAAACGCCCAACCCAACACATGATTACACACCTGACAGAGATTCAATAACTTTCTATTCAAACTTACATTGTGATGACAGATGTCCATCAATCTTGTGTAGGTTTGTCATCTCTGGCATTGCAAACAAATACTGCCATGCAAATGCAGACTTGCCCTGCCTTTGTCCCCATGCTGTCACTTGTGTCACAGAAACAAAAAGCTTAGGATATATTTTTTCACTAAAATCAACTGTACTTAGAAACCACCTGTGGAACAAACTTATCCTACTTGATTTGCGACATTGTTCATTCTATGAGGCCAACACAAAATAGACAATCTGTATAGCGCTGCCATGATTAAACGTCTATTAATCACACAGGGATTTCAATGAGGAGTGGAGAGGTCTTGGACATGTGTGTGGGGGAGTGAAGGGGGGGGGGATTACAGGGGTCATGCAGCCTCTGTCCCACTGCGGCAGAGGCCAGAGTGCTGGGACTGGCCTGCCGTCTGCTCCAGCGCCCTCCACGCGACGCCTTTGTCCATCCTCTTGTTTGACAATTATTTACTTTGCCGTTTAGAGCAGGGCCGAGGTCACATCACATACATCACTGACACAAAACCACCGGCTCACTATGTCAATCCTCCTCTTTGGACATGCACATCCCATCACTGTCATACACACCCGTCACTCTGGGGGGACTAGTCAGACAAGTGTCCTTGGGCTGGTTTATTTGATTTTATTTATCTTTACAAAAATGGCAGATTTTGTTGGTTATTCAAACTGACACAAAGCAGAGTGTATTATGTTAATGTAAATAAGGATGATTTGTTTCTAACTTATCTTTTACGTTTTTTTTAAGAGCATAATAAATGTTTTCTCTCCCTCCATTATTACAGGGGGGCAGTATTTGTGGCATCTGTCAGACTTGTTTCTGGTCTCTCAAAGACAATGACATGAAAAAAAAAAAAAAACAGTTCCCCTGCCTGAACTGTCCCCCTCCCCCTACGGCAGTGCAACCTGAAACTGCCTGAAGAGATGAGCCGTCATTAAATACTGCAGAGCTGACATAATGACAGGAAAGATAAAAGAGAGGAAACAAAAAGGCCAGACCAATTCTCGTCCTATAATGCCTCCCCCAACCCCCAGGCACAGCCCACCTCTCCTAATAAAAGACACCAGACCATAGATAGGCACTGGTCAGCTACAACTTACACTCTGATATTGTTTGACTAAAACTGGACAACAGCATTATCGCAACCTGAACTGGTAACATGACAGTGATGTGAAGCCTTCGTCAACTGCTGTTCAGTTGTTAACTTAGAAGAATAGTGTAACAAAAAACAATCATATGGATACAATCTTTCATGAACCACACAACAAAATGTGAGGGGTACGCACTCACCAATTTCTTCAGCTGCATAATTTAGTAGATCTTATGTCTCTATCATTATCAGTGTAAACTGTCCACAGCTAAATTTGGAAATGTGGCCATAGAAACGCCATTCAAAGACATCTTCCTTTAAATAGACAGTAATAAAATCTAGACACATGATAGTCCAGCACCCTCGGCTCACTGATCAAGCTCAGATATGTCCCCTGACACTGCCCACTCTTGTGCAACCTAGGCTTTTTATATCACTCTCAAGGTGCTGAGCTCTCCTTTAACAGTTTCTGTCCTGGACTACTTCATGTACAGCTCGGCCAGGTTCCCAGTTGGCACAGCGTTCTCTGTAATGCTCTGAGGCAATATTTACCTTCGAAGAAAAGTGCACTTGGCACAGTGCCGAAGTGTTCAGGGTGGGGGGTGAATGAGGCTGCTACTGTGTACTACATCTAACCTAGCCACCCACCCCAAATCCTCGTGCTGACCCGGCCAAACCACCCACATCCTTACAGCGGCTGCTGCACGCTGCCTGACTCTACTACCTGGACCACAGCCAAACCAGAGCCTGAGCAAAGTGCCAAGAGCGACTGGGAACAAGAGACACACTCTCATACACACACACACAATCTGTGCACGGAAGGGGAGAAGTAGTGAACGTGAGGCTGGCTCTCTGCCAGGGCTCACTTACAAGGATTTTTTTGTCTCAAAAGCCAATTGGCGGTCAACTCTCCGCAGAGATTTGAAGAGTCTCACAATGATATCACATGGAAGTTTTGTACTGTGATTAAAGTGAGGCAAGTGCTCAGAGCAGCAGGTGGCTGCAATGCTTCAAACTACAGGAGCATTTTTAACACAAATACTGTCAGATTTTTGGGACGGTAAAAATAATAGGACACAGGCAGAATGACAGGATGAAGCATGTATGACAAAAAGCCCAAAAGCATTAAAATGAACAACAAACCTGTCTGAAGTGATCATCAAAGCCCCAGTCAGCCTGGCCATTAGGAGAGGTGGCAGAATGGGCCCCAGCAGGAGACAGACCTTCGTCCGGTTCTTGCTTGACTCTGACAGGTGGTGATGCCACCCTCTGTGGGGCTGATGCAGAGTAGCTGCCAAAGGGGCGTGCTGGGATGCGAGAGGCGCTCTGCTGTAGAGCCAGGGTCTGCTTGCGAAGAAATTCCAGTCCACTGGCACTGCCCTCATCGTCGCTGCCCTCATCCCCCTCCATCATCTCAGTGTCGTCATCGTCTTCCCCAGAATCTCTGCCCCTGTCCTCATCGTCCTCGCGCTCTGAATCCACACTGCTCTGATTGGACATCCGTGGAGGTAACCCGCCACCTGGAACCCCTCCGGCCATGCCTTTGCCCATGAAACTGGCCCCAGATGCCCGGGCTGCAGCCAGGATGGCCTGTTGGGCAGCGACCTGCTGTGCATACATGATGTGGGCCTCCCGCAACTTTCTTTCCTTGCGCTCCATTTCCAGACGGGCCTGCTGCTGGCGCTGGAGCTGCTCCATCACTGCCTCTAACTTCATCCCTCCTGTGGAAGTGCTCTGAGGAAAGGCCACACCAGACTCCTGAGACATACTGGGCTGTGGGCACAAAACAATCAGTCATATTGCCTGCCATACAGTAACATTAAATGTATAATGATTCAATGACACTCCACAAATTAAATCACACCACCTTAATCAGACCCACCAACTTCAATATGCATCAAAATGTACTATATTCTGGCAGTATTTTAAAACAAAAACTATTAAAAAATACACAAATAATATAAACAAATTAATTAAAATTACAACCGCTTAGATAAAAATAGCTTTTTTTCCATCCAATGCATCAAAATTAAACAACTCATTCATGCTCTTTCACAAGACTAGAATATATGAAGCAATAATCCAAAAGAGCACTCCAAGTGGAAATGCGTTTAATTAAAATCCACAACGACAAATACTAAGCACTTTAATAATCTCTAAGTTTTAGCTTTAATAATCATTAACTTTTGGCTCTTGGACATAAACAGAAATGTAACATAACCGTGTCACTTGTGGTAAATAAATAAATACATAAAAGCAGCAATTGCAGAAGGCGCAAAGTAATCAAACTACAGCATAATAAAAAGAGATAGTGGTTGAAAAACAATTTTAATGAGAATACTGTTCACTCGCGTCAATACTGTAGGCTATAAAGAGCATGACAAAACAGACAAACTAAGAAATAACCACCATAATGCAGTTAGCTGAACTAGGTGCCGTTTCTATGTAAAACGGGTATATTGGTGAAAAGTTATGTAGTTTGTAAACTAGGTCAACTTATGTAAAGTAATTTAAATATACAATATCTGAAGCATAAACACTGTAAAAAGTTCAAAATTACCGTGCCACGATGTCAAAATAGATCTTGTGAATTTGTCTTCTATCAAATACAGGCTAATTAGTTAGCTAACAATTTCCAGTAAATGCCCTCGATAACTCTCCGTCTTTTGGAGATCTAAAAGCTTCTCGTAGACAGTGTACAAATCTTTAGAGGCAAAGCGCCAGCAACACTCACCATTTGTGCCTTACTACTGCCGGAATTGTCCACCATCCCTCCTTCCTTGGCTTTATCCTGCTTCTTCCCTCGTTTCTGGCACTCGTTCAAACACTTGTAAACACACGGACGCGGGCGCGCACGGCGAGAGGTGTAGTGTGCGCGAAGAGGGACTGCGCACGGCCGCGGTACGAGTACGCTCTCCTCTCCGCGGGATTACCCAACTCTGTCGTTTGGCAGGCGATATATCCTCACTATTGTCTTTTGATTAGTAAACGAGATGCAATAATAAATGCCCAGATCTCATATCTCGGAAGGCGCTGAGGTAACTCCCTTTACTCGTTTTTTTCCTCTGCTTCAATTGACACCCCCCCACATGGCGTACGGCAGCATAGGGCCCGCCCAGCCACAGCAACAAGTCTCACCAGCCTGTTATTTCAATTTCACCATGCTCTCAGGAGCTTGTTCAACTTGTCAGTTTTAGCAAGTTTCATTTATAGCCTTTGTCAAATATAGTATTTTGTTAGCCTAAACTCACCAAATCGCAAGGTCGTCTATATCGTATATCAACTTAATAATCATGTGCGTATGCCATAAGTTACTAAAATGACATTCAATAATTATCATTTAGCAATACCAATATAAGAAAAAGCATAGTTTTAAAATTCTGAACACACTTGTTTTAATTTCTGCAAAAAGCTGTACGTTTATGAGACGACTTGTAAAAGCATTGTGCACTGCCCTCTGGTGGAGTCTGCTCAATTTGTACATAAATTCAGTAACAAATCATACTTGTTTTTTATGATCTTCAGTGAATAAGACAAGAAAATAACGACCAAAAGCAGATTGAAATATTGTATTTTACACTTATCACAATGTCATATACAGTTTAACACAGATTGTCCCAGTATTTGCATAGTACAGATGTGTAAGAGTTGTTCAGAGTCACACTATGCAATGTCTGAACTTGGGTGAACATTTTTCCTCTAATCAATTAACATCTGAACACAAAATGCAACTTTCCAATTGTTCTTACACAAATCATTATCATTTATTCTGACACAGCTTTAAGGCGTTCTTAGAGATACAGTTTTCATTATCATAATTCATACAATAACTATTAGCTATGTGGTTAATTTCATTGTCAGTTTGAAGTAACAATATATATAAAGCAAACATGAGAACCATGCCAGCAAAATGTTGCAACTAAAAGAAAAAGTCCAGTAAAAGTGGTCATTTAAAAAAAAGAAAAACAAAAGACATACTATAATAATAACAATAAATAAATACTTAAATATAAAAGCTTTGCGCATTAAAATTTTTAAAATTAGGTTTTAAAAAAACTAAACTTTTGGTCTTACATGTGTGAAAAACAATAAATGAACTTGCTAGGTCAATAACATACTTTTTTAAAAAGGTACATTTAGTAATTAGATTTAGTGAAAGAATGTATGGAAAAAATAAAGTTTGCAATGCAAAAATCATGAACAAAAAGTGCTGTGAGGTATAGTGACAATAATTGCAATTTGTTGTTAATGAACAGAATACTTACATTAGCAGTTGCTATATAACACTTTGGTTAGTCAGTACAAAACTAAAACTGTAACCTCAATAAAACATATGGATCACATCTGATTTGTCCCTTACACACATAGTGCAGATGCGTTCATGGTCATGAAAAGGGACAGACAGTAACCAGTCTTCAGTTGGTCAACAGGGTCCAAAAGCAAACACACTGAGAAGACACTGTTAGTACTTTTTGCAGCTGTATAAAAATAGGGGTCACAGTGGATAAGGCTTGCTCTTGTAGGTGTCCATGTTCATTGTGCAATTACACTGGGTGATAAAAAGTCCTGTTATCATAAACATTTTGGCTTCAGAAATGGAGGTCCTAGAAATGTGGGCCTCTCAGAAAATATGAAGACCGGGCAATAGCACCAGCTTCACTGCATGGAGCAAGACGGCCCTTCAGAGCAACAACACAATGAAGAACCCATGGCTTTGGGAGGGATAAGGTCCAAGTCTTCATCATCTGGAATCTCATCGAGATTATAACCATCCTTAAGCAGCTGTTTACTTAGGTCAGGATGAACCTGCAGAGCAGAAATGCCACAATAGCCTAATTATAAGATAAAGCTAACATAAAAAATATTAACATTTTTACTGTGATTTCAAAATAGTAACAACCCCATAATAACAATCCAAGAGGGGTGTTTTTTCCATACAGACAAATTTATTGTTAGAAGAACAAATCTTACCTCAGCTGAGGAATATCCTGAGGAATAATGTTCAAAATCAATCTCTTCCTCACTATCAACAGAAAGTGTGGGTTATTTCAAGAAGATCAGAACAACCCAAAGTTGTAAAAGAATGCCCCAATCCTGTTATTCCATTTCACATAACTAAATGGTTTGCTATGGGGATTGGCAATAAAGACATGCCCTGTGCATTGATTAATCTCTATACAGAAAAGTAATAAAAAACACAATCTTTGAAAAGTAACATGAAATGGCAAATTACACTATCCAAAACTCCAGTTTACTCATTCCATTCTTTATCCACTTGCTGTTGTCCATAAATCTCCATAATCCCAAGAAAACAGTTGACTAATTAAAAAAAGTGCTGACAACTGCTACAACCTTAATTTTTTGGTATAGGAGAAATATATCAGGCCGATATTTGCACTTTTTAGCATACTGGCATACCAGAATAAAAATTAGAGATGGCCAATTGTTTAGAATCCACAGCAATTGATGGCCCAAAATATCAGCAGATCTTACTAGTCAGCAGTTGCTGTGGATTTAAAAAAAAAAAAGTAATTTAAAAATAGAAGAGTAATGTATCTAAAGAAGTGGCTGTAAGTTGACAATATCAACAAGTATAATAAATAATAATCAGAGAAATTACATTTTGTTATTTCTATTTATTTATTTTTTTAAAAGGGAAAGTTAATTTGTGAACTAAAGTTTAGTTCAATGTGTGAATCTTGGCATGGTCCTGCCTGAGCACAGCACTGTGGCCACTCCGCAGTGTTTCACATCTGGCTGATGTATGTTTAATTTAGGCATCACCTTAGACCACAAGCTGACGTGGGACCCTTGGTCTGAGAGTGTCGCAGCCAAAGCACAATAAAGACTTAATTTTTTTGAAACTCATATCTTTTCATGTTGAGCAAAACCTTCTGTGCAGGTTTTATCTTAATTTTATTCAAAGTGTTTTAATGTTCTGTGTTGTGGGACGGTTTGGGAACAGCACAGACGCTAAAAAAAAAACTTAAGAAAGACTGTGGCTAGGGCTTGGCGATATGGCCAAAAAGTTAAATCTATTTGCTCACAATGTATGATTTGAATCGAAATCACAGCAGAGATTGCTTGTCTTTCAAATGGCGAAAGCTCTTTACGTTTTTATTCCTATCCTATGCTATTATATGAGAAATTATAACCCACTTTAAATTACATTTGTATTGTTATCTTTGTAATTGCACAATATCCCTGCTTTGCAAGTAAGAAAGTAAACTCAAGAGTAAACTTGTTTCATAATAATCCTCAAATTCAAAATCTCAATTTTTATAAACCTGATCAAATTCATTTGATTTACTCTGAGATTAACAAAAAAGGCCCAAAAGATCCTCTCTGAGAGTCATCTCAGAATTTGTTTCCCTGTGCTTCTGCCCTCCTCTATTCATAAAAATAGTTTTCATTCAACCCACAAGTTATAAGACTCCTGAAGACTGTTTAACTTGCTTGCTATGTTTGCATGTTTTTGTATGAGTTATGTATGTAAGTGAAGCCAGCCATGTGAATTTACTGCAAAGCAATTTTCAAATAAAGTCCAGGTACATTTATCTATATCTCAATATATCTAGCTAAAGCACAAATCTGTATTTGTACCTGTCAGACTCCAGTGCAACCAAAGTCTCTTCTGCATGCTGACTCAAAGCAGTATATCCTTTGTTATACTTCATTTTCCTACACAAGGAAATGCAAGCATACATGCCTTTAACAAACACACTCCCTTGTTTCATCAAGACTTTTTTTTTTTTAACTTCCTTCACAAACTTCCTCAACTTACCTTTTACCACTTTGTCTAGGCTGATGCAAAACTGGAGGTCCTGGCGAGAGGGCCTTCTTTTTTAGGGCTTTCCTTGCCATCTCCCTGTGCTTCTCTACAGAAACAAAAACATACACAGTATAACTTGAAATATTTTCATATTTGATAATTTTTAAACTCATAGCCTTTGGAGATCTGTAACACAGTGATTTGGATCAAAAAGCCATTTCAAAATGAGAAAGGCGGCCCATTGAACGATGGCAAGTGAGAATTCTGTTTACATTTTTTTTTTTTTTTAGATTGATCAATGTAACAATCAGAATATTTAATTAAAAAAAATAAACTGTAATGCATAATGACTTTTAATGAAAGTAAAAGAAATCAGGCTCGTTTGTTGTATTGTGCTAAATAGTTTGACAGTATATTTAAACCCAAGTGCAAATTATACACACTAATTGCTTACGGAGTTTGTGGTGGATAGCTGGAGCTCTTGACATGATGTAGGGTCCTCTTTTTTCCATTGGCCGTATACTTACCTCGGCATTCTTAGGTCTTGTACTGCTACTGGGGCCCTATGGGAGTCACCACATACTAAATTATATTTGTCAACACATTTGTACTAACACGTTTTATAACGCTTGATAAAATTAGTTGAATACAGTCTCTTAGTTAATAAATGAACACTGCCACATGCCAAAATGTTAGCTACACAGATGTGTTTAACGAAAAACGTTACGTAAGCTTATGCATAAAATAAATCATAAAAAAATAAACCAACTGTTAAAAGCTGACTCGGTAAGTACATGTGTATTGCTTTAAAGCATAGTATATCCCTATTATCTGACTGAAGAAATGCCATAATAAGAATCCACGGGGCTAGGTTAGCCTCCTAGCTAATGTTTACAGTTAGATTAGCCACCGACTGTACCGTCGAAACTTGAGCCTTCGGTAACGCCTCTAGGAGGTTGTCTTTCTCGGGCTCCTCTAAAATATCGTTCATCATCCTTGCGGTAGTTGTCAACATTCAAGCCACAACAGCGCCATTATAAAAGGTATTCCATCTGCTTTAGTCAGCTATCAGCTCCCTCCTGCATTGCTACGGAGGATGGAGCAGAAATAGGATCAGGACGCCTACCGACCATAAGGACCAAGACTTCCGGGAGCCGGAAATTTCAAAATAAAGGCCTAGTGAAATCACATGGAAGTTTTGAGCACTTCCACGTTACATCTGACCACCCCACAAAATATCTATATTAAGGACCTGAAGAGTGTGCTAAATAGTTATAAAATCCAGATGCAGCATTTTCTCTACTCTTAAGTTCACCACATCAATTTATAGGTAGCCTATGCCAATGGAGACTTAATGATACTATTCATGTGCATTCATTGAAAAGTATAGTATAGTGTAATAAACGTATTTATCAGTAGTGCTCCAGCAGTTTATCAGGTTGTCCAACGTAACAGTTCTTTTGTTTAGGTTAGTGTATCCCTATGGAAGTTTTTAACCTTCCACTGGCATTCAATTCCGAGTTCAACAGGAAAATTTCCCACCCTCTGTTCAACACAACAATGTTCAATAGTAGTTACACACAACATATTACATACAGATATGTACTATGT